AAGAAACACAAAATGAAGCAGCAAAAATCGGGTGGAGGCTCCCTCATGAGCAAAATACTTTGGAGATTACGAACGATTTATTAACCTCTATTGAACAATCCATGGAAGATCTTCTTGATAGTGACAACGTGGAATATAATTTTCCTGGACATATTTATGGAGGAGGTATTGGATCTGACGGAGAAACTTCCACTCCTGTTACTACAACCCAACAGCCAACACATAATCTTCCTCCATTCATGTTTTCCTCCACTAATAGCAATAACTCAATGAGATCAGGCCCATTTCATTCAACCTTAGATCTCAACATTCCATACATTTACACAACAAGCGAGGAAGAGATTGAGATTTCTACAAATGGTTCAATTTCAACAAACACAACAAGCACCTCGTTGGAGGAGTTTCAAAGTGGAATTATTGGCTCAATCACTCCAACCACCATTATTCAGTCTCCGAATAACAAAAATGCAACTCCTTACACTAACAACCAAGCTAGAGCCGAGTCTAATAGAGGTGAGAATCAGTCAACACCTCCAACATCACCTGGATCTCCATTAGAGAATAAGACCTTTGCTGCTGTCAACAAGGAACGTACAGGAGTTCATGCATCACCAACAAGTAAGGCCTTACCGAAGGTTAAATCAAAAGCCGTTCTGGAGTATGAAGACGATGTCACATCTGATTCATCTAACTCCTCAACAGATGAAGAATTGTTTTCTCAAGAGAGAACAAACAGTAATGGTAGCAATAGTATCGACTACTCTCAATGTTCAACATTGCATGATATGAATGAAATATTCGAAAAACTCTTGAAGAATATGAGAGAGACAAGAAGTTGACATCTGAGGCACAATTTTTCATTGCAAACGCTCCAAGTTTTCAATCTCTACTGTTTGCATTGAAAAAATTGAAAGAACAATCTCTTCTACATCATGAAAATTCTTCAAAGATCCGATCCAACATTTTTCAATCCTTGAAGAGGAAAATCAAGGAATTGAATAACAAATATCAAATGCAAAGCATTGGAGTTAGCTCAAGCAGTAATTCTAGGAAGGAATTGGATACAGTGTTTGATATTTGCAACTTCTTACTCAATGAAGACATTATCTACAGCATGATTCAATCCCCTATTCTATCAGATATTAATTCGGAAAAAGATTTGGAAAATATGGTCACACTTTTAGAGAATATTCAATCCAAAATGAACATTTCCTTCAACAACTCAGTACAAGGGTACTTTAGGTTGTTTGATGGAACAAAGAAATGGCTCATTCATGTATTCACACACAACTTGAGAATAGTATTGGATTTTCAATCTCCAGGAACTTCTTCTTCGAATCAAGCAAGAAGATCTTCAACATCACTCCTTTCTCTACTTCAGAGCCAACAAAATACCATTTCTCTTGAGAAATTCATGAGATTTTGGATAGACTTGTAAGGTTAAACTTTTGAACGAATACTCTCATGTATTGCTTGATGAGCTAATGTTGACACCATTTTTCGTTTCCTTAACTTCTTTCGACTTTATAGAGCACATGGGTAAATTCAGTGGTAGTCAGTTTTCCAACAAGTTGAGATCCTATATCATTGACAAATGTTGTCAACTAATATCTCAAACGGCAACAAGCAAAGACGCCAGCCTTCTTTTGAGCTCATCGAATCAAAAATTGAGGATGCAACAGTACGCTATGTCTATCTCAAGACCTTACTATTTGCAGCCAACATCCAACACAGTTATGAGAGCATTGTGAAAAATCCATTGTGCTATTATTATTTCAAATTTGCCAAGGTCAGTCAAAAGATCGCTGATGAAAATTATGTAAAAATAGAGAAAGAAGTATCGGACTTGATGGATATTTATTTCAAACTAGTTTTTCAACTTTTAGACAAAACATGTACCATTTCTACTTTGAATATGGTTCTAAAACACGAGGCTCAGTTCGTTAAGCTGATTTATGTTATGGGAGATGTTGGTTTTAACGAAGGCCACCTAAAGCAGCTTCGACAAGAGCTAGTCTCATTTAAAACAACTCTAGACGCGGTTCAAAATTTCTTGACCATGTTTGCCGATGATCCTAACTTCTTTGATACAAATACCGTGCTCGACACTATTATCAAAATTCGTAGAAATATGACAGAAATGGTTTTCAAAAAGGTTCAAAAGCAAGTATCAGATCTAATTCCCCATTCAGCTTTGAGGATTTGGCCTTCTTTTACGAACTTCGAACATCAGAATTCTTTTTGGTGCTATGGAGGATCTCTACTCAAAAACAACGATGAAAAACATAGCATCGACTCCATCAAGACCAAATTAATACCCGCCGTCAGAAAGAGATGGGCAGACTATTATGCTTCTCTCGATACCCTTTCCATGAAGTTAAGCGAGTTTTACAACATTCTAAGAAAATGTAGATATGACACTAAGCTTGACAACATTTTTTCAGGAGCGAGCAGTCTCTATGAAGAAGAGTTGCTTAGAGTGAGAATGACCTTCAGTGGAAAAGCTTCAGACAGAAAGCCTTCTCGAGAAGATCTTGAATGGGTTTCGAAAAGGCACAATATCATTAGAAGCTATGAGAGCATTAATTTATACAGATCATATTTACCATCATTAATTGCTCTTGTAGAACATTTTGAGCCTTATTTTTCTGTGGATTTGAAAAAGGATCTAGATTACATCCAACTCAAAAAGAAGCAACCATTTTGAACAGCCAAAGCCTATGGGAAGAACAAACATTATCCATGTTTGAAAACCAAAGAACAAGTCTTGATTCGTTGTCTTTTGCCAAATTCTTCAAGAATTTTTCTGATAATCAAATGTCATTCATGAAGTTATTGAGTGACAACAGTGGATTTTCCATAATTGATTGGCTCGCTAACTACAAATCAAACCTTGAATTTGATAACTTGCTAGAGGTGTGCAAGAGTTACACCGATTCTGTTAAGGTTCTCCAATCTTTGAAATCTTTGGTTGTTATTAGAGACGTTGTCTCAGAGCTACTTTATGGCTCCGTAGAGGCTACTTCTGTGACATTTACTGGCTTCACACAGTTCCATAGTGTGCTGACGAAACTTCCTATCGGCAGCGACGAATTAGTACAATTGACAAATCTCAAAAAGAACTTTACACTCCTTCTTGAGATGTTTGAAGAAAGAACACGAAGTGGGGAGTTCAAGCCCTTTATGATCTTGCTGCCATACTTGAAAGAGGCATCTTTGAATTCAGCCTTGCTGGACAACATGTAATCAGTTGTAAGGTTGTTCCTTCCTCAAGCATATCATCCTCATCACCAAGTAGAAGAATGAGCAATCAGCATCAAATCATTAGCATGGAAGGCCTGGTTGAGTTGAGAAACAAATTGATGTTGAGCGAGATACCAGACAACATTAACAGCTTGGATGATGTACATTCAAAGATCAAATTATACGTGAGCTACATTACATTAATGATTGAATTAAGGTCATCCCTGCTCGAGTTGTCTCGATCTGCTCATTTCGATTTTCAGGATAATTACTTTAAAACGATCAAGGCTTCAGAATGCACTTTTGAGGTCATACAAGACTATCATTCACAGGTTCTCCAAAAGATGACAGAATGGAAAAAATTGTTGAAGATTCTCGAAACAAATACTATTTCATTAATTTATTCAGAGCGAAAGAGTCTCTACATATCTTTAATTTGCTAACTAGGTACAAGGAAGAAACCAAGAATGATATATTACGAGAATTATTGGACATTCTTCAACTGGGCGATCATAACTTGACTGTCAATGAGATTGAAGCTTGTATGAACGGCATGCAGGATGTTACTTTCTCCAAAGAGATGTCTGTAGCCGCAAAGATGGAAAAATTGTGTTTATTCATTGAAGCTCTATTCAGAAATAGGAATATCAATTATAGAAAATCAGATTATACTATTCCCTCAGCAATAACATCCAAGTACTCCGTTGCCAACTTTGGAGGATTCTTCAGAATCATCAAGCTAAGCAAGGAAAAAGAGGTCATGGATGCAATCATGACCATTTATTCTGCACAAAACAGGCTTCCTTTAAGTGAAGAAGTATTACTATGCAACTCTCACGAAACAGATATTGAAGACATTTATCTCATTCTGAATCGGTGGTTCAAGTCAAGCGCCAATGGAAAACTTAATCACATATTTTGTATTGGGAATATTCACGAGTTACCATTTTCTGTTCAATCGAAAATGCTGTTACGTATCCAAGAACAAATTTCGACCATGGCTAAAGCATCAAACAATCATGCCAAACTGGTACTACTCAGTGGAGCAGACAGTAATTCCAGACTCTTGGTAGAATTTTCGCAATATGTAGATTCAAATTTCAAATTACTTCCTCACAAGTACATATCAGCGATTCTCAAGTCATATCATGGTAATCATGTGAAATATGTATTCTCAAATCGTACTGCAGCCGGAAAAACTCGCTACATACTTAAAGATATTTACACGAATAAGAAGAAGTATAAGAGAATTACTGTGCTTGAAGACTCGACAATCAGGGACACAGTATTTACTCTTAAAAGAACAGTAGAAAATATGGATAGAAAAGACATTGCTTTTCACTTTTCTTTATGCCCACTTGTTCCAAAGCACTTTAACTCTTTGTTTTTGAACTTTTTATTTGGGTAGAGTTAGAGATCATGACACAGCTACCATTTTCCATTTGACACCTTCTACTCAATTCTACATTGAGATACCTAACAGTCTTTGTGTTCCTATTTTGAATGAATTTATATATTTCTGTGCATTTTTACCTTCACTAGACATTACTACTGACGAAAATAGTTTGGATTTCACAAGCTATGAGCTGGCTAATGGAATGAATGATACCATAGAAATTATTGCTAGAGATAACTCAAAGAAAGTGCAGTTTGTCTGCAAATTTTAAAAGCATTTGAGGAAAATATTTTCAAATATGCTGCCCCTCATATTGCCGATTTTTCTCCTGATAAGCAAGCTGATCTTGACAACAGAAAATGTTTTAAACTTCTTTGCAAATATACTGGATTCAATTATGAGAACGCCTCATTCTCTGTGATCAATCACTTTGTTGGTAAGTTGTCCTGTGAATTTTTTATTTTTACATTCAACAATAATTTTCTACAGAATTGCTTTATGGACAATTTCAGTCTACTCTTAGATATGCATGTTTCAAAAATTGTGTCATGGAAGGAACCATGCAACTTTTTAAACATGCAATGATTGACTTAATGATTAGGTCTGCAAGAGATTTGACAGGCATCGCAGTTGAAAAGATACAATCCTGACTATGGCTAAGAAATACGAAGGTAAACCGTATACCGAGGTTCTGTTACTACAATATATTGAAATGTTCGAAAACCGAATAGGACGTTGGGAAGAACAATCTGCTCAACATCCACTAATTGTATTCTATAGGACCGAAATGGATGAAATTACAGGTATCGATCTCATAGGAATTGATACAGATAAATTGGAACTAAATGAAGAGTTGAAATACTCACTGGTTTGCAATGGAATCAACTTGGACGCTCCTAGAGCACTTTCACACGAAAGAGCTCAAGAAATTATTAGAAATGTAGCAGGACTTGGAAAAGAGGATCGAAACGAGAAAGTTAGAAACAACTATGTATTAACAGTTGACAATTTGAGCAAGGTGCTTGTTATTTACAACAAACTCAAATACAGTTTACCAACCATTTTGTATGGTGACAATGGAGTTGGAAAATCAGAGCTGACCAAATATTTAAGCTCTGTTTTGGGCATCAAGCTGAAACGTTTCGTTGTTAATGAAGGCCACAGTAGCTTAGACATTTTGAACTGGATTAACCCACTCATCAGAGAGGCCAAACATAACCCTTCCAAGGATGTGATTGCATTTTTCGATAGAGTGAATACAGCAAACAATGTCGGATTGTTCAAGGAGCTGATATGTGACCGAGTTATCAATAACCAGGTACTTCCAAAAATCTCAAAATTGTTGCTTCTTGTAATCCATACCGTCTGAGAAGATATGCAGGAACTGATGTAGAACAACCTTCTTCTCAAAAGCTTGATATCCTTAAAGAAAATTTAAGAAATCTTCAAAAGACTACTGGGCTAGATATTCAAGCCTTTGCTCAATGCCTTGTTTACAAGGTTTATCCTCTTCCAGTCTCTTTACTGGATTCAGTTTTTAGCTTTGGGTCACTTAAAAGTGACATTGAGCAGTTGTACATTCGTGCTATATTACTAATGGAAATTAATCAGGAAGACAATACTAGGTCGGCAAGATTCTTTGATTGCTTTACAGAGCTGATTTTCATTTCACAAAACTTTATAAGAAAGGTATACATGGAGCGCAGCGCTGTAAACTTGAGGGATGTGAAAAGATGCATTAATTTGTTTAAGAGCTTTTATCAATCTCTTGCAAAGAGAAACTCCTTGGATTCAGAATTTTATTTAGACGAGTCAAATTTCATTATTAAGAACTCCATACTACTTGCTCTGGGTAGTTGTTACTATTACCGACTTACTGCTCGTAGGGAAGATTTCGTGATAGAAATTGAAGACTATCTCCTTTCTTCAAACAAATCTAGTACATATTTATCCTATCAAAAGGCGATTTTATCAACACACTCAATGAGGAACAGCGTTTTTATACAATGCATTTAAATATTCCAAAAGGTGTAGCTCTGAATCAAGCTTTAAGAGAAAACATTTTCATGACACTTGTTTGCGTCTTGAATAGAATTCCAATTTTCATCAACGGAAAAAGTGGAAGCTCCAAGTCATTGTCCTTAGAAATTCTATCTTCAAACTTGAATGGAAGTGCGAGTGTGAATGCGTTTTAAGATCTCTCCCATCTCTTGAAATATTCACCTATCAATGTTCGCAAATGTCAACACCTGAAGATGTTAAGAGCTGCTTTGAATCAGCAAGAAGATATCAGAAAAATTCTCCCAACTCCATTGCTGTGGTTCTTTTGAACGAGGTTGGACTCTTAGAACATTCACCCTCTCATCCATTGAAGGTGGTGAACAAGGAACTTGATGAGGAAAGCTCAACTTATGCTCCCTCTGTTATTGGGCTTTCGAATTGGACGTTAGATCCAAATCTCATTAACAGAGCAGTTTATTTGTCAAGACCAGCTCCCTCCACTTTCGAGTTGAAAACAACGCTTTCTGGCATTGTCAACTCTGTACATTTGGATAGTAGCTTATTTTCGTTAGCTAAGGCTTTCCATGATGTTTACAACAGCCAACAAAGAAAAGACTTCTTTGGATTAAGAGACTTTTATCACTGTGTGAAATTCATCAACCGGAATTTTGATTTAGGTGCTTTGACACCAGAACTTTTAACTGATGCTTTAGCTCGTAATTTTGGTGGCTCCAGTAATGTGAAGAATTTCACACCATCCTTAATATTTTCTTTTCATGTGTGGGAATGAATATCGTTCCGAATAGAAAGTCAAAATTGGAGTACATCTCAGAAAATTTGACAGACACAAAAGCACGACACCTCATGCTCCTTACCAAGAATAATGCTGCTCTTTCCGTATTATTTTCTGATTTTGGACAAATAATGTCATACTCCAATTCTGAGGTCATATTCGGCTCATCAAACTTCCAAAATTGCGCTAAAGAACTCCAGATATGTATGGATATTCAACTAATTAAGCAGTGTATGGCCATTGGAAAAATTGTTGTACTGGTGAATTGTGAACAACTCTATGAGAGCTTGTACGATTTATTTAATTTACAGTATATAGAATATGATGAGAATCGCGTTGTTGCAATCTCCTTAGGAACTTACAGCAGAATTTGCTCGGTTCACAAAAACTTCAGAGTCATTGTAATTGTAGATCAGGATGATGCATATACACGATTACCAAAACCACTTCTCAATCGATTTGAAAAGCAAACACTTCACAGAGAGGATTTATTCGACAAGTACTCCTCAGCCAACTTGCGAGCAGTTTTATCAAAACTTCAGAGTTGGGTAAAATCAACCTTTGATGAAGATGAAAGACCATTTGTTAACACTCACAAATCTCTACTCCATTCTTTGGTATTGTCATTGGACTCGAAACAAACAGAAGACACAACGTTGCATGACTTTCTCCTAAGTCAATGCAAGAATTTATTGCTGTGGATCACCACAACTGATGCCATAATTAGAATGTCTTCAAAGAATTTAAGAAATAAGGAGTATGCTAGAATGTATTTCGAACAGCAAGAGCATAGAGATCTCTTTAAATTTTCTCAGTACTTGTTTGAAGCAATGCAGTCACAACAAAAAAGCGGCTTATCGAATCCTCTGATTTTTAATGGATACTTCCAAGTCTGTGTACTGACTTATTCGTCAGTTTCTATGGACTGCAGCTCTCTGATCAGCACTGATCGAGTTGAATATGTAGAGACCTTGAGTTTGAGCGACTTAAAATCAGATATTGGATTATCAGAAAAACTGAAACAATACTTTGAAAAGCCAGTTTCAACGCAAACTGCACAGCATGTATTAATCATTCAGTGTGAGATTGTGAATTTTGATTTGTTAAATCAAACCAAGTTCATGATTCAAAAACAAAGAACATGTTCTGGGATACTCAATACTCAGGGAAAGAATGTGCTTCTAATTGTAAATGTTGTTCCAGGAAAGTCCAACACGACTCAATATTTAATTGAGTTTGACACACCATGGAAGTATGCATTTATAGATGAAATTAGACCTATGCAGCATTCCATCTATGACATTTTAAATAGACCTTTTTCTGAGCAGATACAACTTGCAAATGTTCGACAAATTATTAGCAATAACTTCAGAACCGCATTGGCTCTGTTAAGGAAAACCAACACCAAAATTAATGACATTACTGTACTAATTTCGAGAACCAAAGAACTTCTAGACAACGAAGACTGTTGGAAAGTAATTCAACCAAAAATCATGGAGATTTGTTTTGACTACTTCTCTCAGAATCAGACAAATTATTATTCGACCTTTGTTGCTCAACACATGCAAGAATATTTTCTGGTAGCAAACACTTATTATTCTGCAATCCAATATTGCATTGAGAGAATATTAATCAAATCATTTACATATCTTCTTGCAGAATTGGAGAGAAACAACAATCTGGATTTGTACTTTGAATTTAAGAAGGCAAACAGAACGGATGGAACATCACTTTGGCTTCGACTATTGAGCGATATGAAACGTCCATCCATTACGAACATGTTCACCAAGTATGATCAGGCCAACTCTTCGGCAGAATTACTTCGTTGGAAACCCATAGAAGTGAAAAATGATGGAAACAATAACAGAATATTCAAATGTCGATTCCCATTTTCCTTTGAAGTTTGTAGATATTTACACAGCTTGAGAAGCATTTGTGAGAGCTCACGTTTTGGTGTTACTACAGCACTTCAAAATCATATCAACATGTTGTATCCATTCCTTAATAACTTGCCAAGAGAATTTTCAGAATTCTTTATCTATGACTACATGTGTATGTTTGGAGAACAATGTACAGTTCTAACGAATGAAGTTCAATATGAAATTCTCAAGAAAATGCTCGAGACAGAGCATAACGATTCTAGCGATACAAATAGTCATATTGCCAATGCGCTTTCATTCTACTGGAAGCAAGAACGAAGATTACAGGCTTACTATGTACTCTTTGAGACGTTCCCCAAGTCCGTTCTTCAAAAGAAATTCTTACAAAAGCTCCTTGTTCCTTCATTGAGAGTGACATCCGTTGAGGAAATTGATATATTACTATTCAGCGTGATTTATCATAATTTAGATCCAAGAAAGGTTGAAATTTCATATGATCCTGTTATCACAAAACAACGAAGAATGATTTGGGTAAAAACATTGACTGACATCAAGGGTCCTGTAGAGGTATTAACGAGTTTGATGCGAAATTCTGGATCATCCATGTTAAATAATATTGGATTCATTCATGAGAAATGGAGAAAGCTGCAATTCTACAAGGAGTATCTTCAAGAGATTGCCATTCCTTTGGGAATTGTTAAAGATATATCCATGATTTTGTGGCAAAATATGAAAACCAAACCTCTCTCTTCGATCAATAGTTTGGAATTAATTCTGTACTTCCTTGACTTGGTTAGCAAGATTGGAGATAATCAAAAATCGACCACGATTGACACCAGAAAAGCCAATATTTCACGATTTTTCGAAATGTTTACCTCCAAGTTCCTTATAAGACCCATTGGTAAAGATGATGAGATTGACAAATCATTTTACTCCGTGTTAGTCAGTATTGTGAAAGGAGATAATGAAAAGTTTAAACAGGTCATGAAAAATCCAACTCAAAATCTTAAGGTTAGCATTTTGAAGAAGCTCCTTCTCAACAAACAAACCAAAGTGCTTGTGAATTCCGAGCTGAGAGAAATCGTCAAACAAGAATTGGGAATATCGGCCGTAGCATCGATCAATAGCTCAGCATCTCTCGACCAGAGCACATTTTACAGTTATTTGTGCATCTATGAATCGGTTCTTCAGAGTATTCCTGAGGAGCAAATTTCCAAATTAATTTCCTCTATTTCAGAGTCGATTCTTGATGTCCATACTTGGAAAGATATAATCAAGGAAGTACAATTACTGGCTGTTATTAGAACATCTTTATCCTCATTTGCAGACAGATTAATTGCTGCATCTGAAAAAGGAGAATCCATACGAGCCATCATTGGATCAAACACCATCTACCAACAGTTATTGACTCTTCTCGATAAGCCCAGTTTCAATTTCCTGCGATTGGTACTCCTTCGATTGGTTGTCGAAAGGAAGGGCAGAGTCTTTTACTGAAAACTTTTCGTTCAAAAGTTGCTGAACACATTCCATGGATTTCATTGGTTCTCTATGGATTTAAATACACCGACAGTATTCCACAAAATGTTTTGATACATGTGTTGAATGGACTTGAGGAGATTGGAGCATGCGTCGATATGATTATGAGCTTACGACAGCAGCAAGGGACAGTACCTCAAAAACAGAGTCAATTATCAAGCTCAAATCCTCGCTCGAATCAATCATTCACACAGGACAGCAAATTGATATTCATTCCCTTAAAAAGCTCTGCTACTTGGCAGTTATTGACAAGTGCTACTTGTCGTTCTGTGCTGAAACTTCCATTAAGGAGAGTAGAATTGCCATGTCTGAAGAGGAGTTGATCAGTAGAAATACTATTGACATTACCAAACTTAAAATTATCTACTCAGACATGTCTTAAAGGATGAGAAAGAAGTGTTGATGACCATCAAATTTGCAACCAATGCATTTGACGAGAATAATTTCTTCTATCTCAGTGAGAATACTTCTCTAGAGAATTTGACCCTAGTTCATATTGTACATCATATTTGTTCAATTGCACTTTCAAACTTCTCGTCCGATCAATTCTGGTGGATGCTTTTATTTGAACCTTTATCTATGAAAGACAAGTATTTACCAAGCATCACCGATGACGCCAGAAGTCAAGTCATTAACACAATCAATAATAGTGGTGGCATTATTAACTGGTACAGATGCTCAAAGGGTCATGTCTACTTTATTGATTTATGTGGCCTTCCTTTGGAGCAAGCTCAATGCCCAGAATGTGGACTTCCAATTGGAGGCTCTGATCATGTTCCTCACTATTCCAACGATAAGATCAAACATGAGGAGGATTTGGCACCAACAGGTTATGCTGTTTATGAATACTTTAAAGAAAGAGATTTGAAAGCAACTGTTCGTTCATTATCACCACTTGTCTTCAGAGTGGTCAGACTGATCATACATTCATTGCTCATCACTGGCTCCTCTCTATTCCCAGAAAGGGAAGAGGAGTACAAGGCACTCTTCCACAAATCAATGGATACATCATCCATAACCAATCTTCATGAATATCTATTGTCACATATTAGAAACGATTGGAGTATTATTGTTGAACTATTGGGAGAAAATAATGAAGAGAAGGCAAGCGTATTATTGTTCAATATTTTAGAGCTGTTCAGTTATTCATCAAAACAAATGGAACTCAAGAGAAAATCCAATACAAAACAACCTGGAGTTGCTTCGAGAGATTTGTCTACCAAGTCTGGAAGAAACGCATGGGAAAATCACTTCAATGGTTGTGTGTCTATGGTGGTTGAAAATGCTACAAAGAAGTATCAATTATATTTCAAACAATTAGACAATTTCCAAAAGAGAAGTCATGATCCTGTCACTAATGTATTACTATTCTCACCAGAGTCAACCTCACAGCCAATATTGCCTCTCACAGATCCTATTAGTCAGTTATGGAATATTAAGGTACCGATCACCTATGAACAGTTTAAGCTTGCCTTTATCAATGACAGAGTAGAGCAGAAATATCCAATTTTGAATCTCTTTATTCAGAATGAGCCAATGCTCTACGCCACAAGATACATTCCTCATGTGATCAAGTGGCAAAAATTGATCATGTCCACTTTTTCTCGAAGAATAGATAGACACTATGCAAGAACTCGCACCGTTCGAGACGTGTTATCAGAATTTAATTCTGCAATGGCATTATCTCCAGTCATCTTACAAATGGGTTCAGACAAGAAAGCATCAATTGAAAAATTATTTGAAGGCTGGGCTAAAGCATTTAACCATAGCTGGAAATTTATTGATCGCTACAAGTGCTTGCCTCTTCCTAATTGGTGTAGAAATATTGTCATGACCAAGGATACTCCACTCTCATTTTCTATTCCGGATGAGACGGGTCAAGATGAAGGCATTTGTTCGCTTGCTGTGACACAATTTTTAATTGATAAGCATAATGAAGTGATTGAGAAAGTTGGAAAACTATTCAATAAGAACGTGGAAAACACTCCAATTGAAATTTCGAGCCGTTTCGTCTCCAAACATCATCTCATTGTATTTAACATCGAAGAAGAGTTGGTATCAGTCATTGCAGAATCGAAATTAAATGAACCAACATTGACTTCCAACAATACTAATGGCGACAAGCAAAAATCAAGTGCAAGACACAAATTTGATTATGAAAGAATTGAGCAATTTATTTTGACAAAATACTTGTCAGGAAAACCAAAAATCAAGTTAGAATTGGAAGGGTTCTTATTCTTAAACGAAACAAGATACTCGACTGGTTTTGGAGATCAAATTGGAGGACCTGTGAGCGAACTTAAACGAAAAATCAAGCAAGTGGAAATTCCAACAGATATCAAACAAGCGATCATTCTAGAGATGAGAGCCAACGAAACTAGTTTAGACATAATCCAAGCCTGTTTAAGACAAGTGGAAGAATGTATCTCTTTCTTGCAAGCTATTTCAAGTTCTAATAATTTGGAAGATGTGGAAAAGATGTCCATCACAGATTATTTACATAATATTTTACTTGTTGATCCATCCACCACATCCAATCAACCATTATGTAATATTTCCAATATCATGATTCATGTGAAGTTGTGTCACTTGTTGTCATTATGGCAATTATTAGAGAATGAGCTTTCACCAGGATCTACAATTGAATCCTCCATCATTTCAAACAGGTACAAGCGTGCCATACCGTCATCTCTTCTCAACCATTTGAAAGAATTCAAAGAAAAACTCTCACTTACTGATCTTTCAATCTTGACATGCTCCATCAAGGAATTATTACTCTCATACTTTACCAATGAAACGTTAGATTCAGAGATTCCTCTCAAGCAAATGCTAGAAATCACTCCTGCTGTGGAGAACATGGCACAAGTTTCCAAACAAACAGACAATGCTGACAGCAACAGTGGAGGTAAAAAGCTTGGAGATTTCAAGTGGTTACAGTTACTATCTGATGAATTGAAAACAGCACACTTGTTTGAGGTTTATTGTCAACTTACTAACAGTTCGCAATAAAGGTGTGGAATGAGTTTTTGGAGTTTTGATCGAATTGAAAAAAATGATTTCTCAGCAACACGGTGAAGAAGAACATACCATCATGGATCTCATTGATTTTGAATCGAACAACAAGACTCATTAGGACTTTCTTTTAACCATATTGACAAAGAAAATCAGAATTCAATCGTTACACGTCACTTCCTCATTGTCATTTGATTTTACGGCTCCTTTTGATGTGGCCATCTCGTATAATTGTAATTGTATTTTGATCAATGATCAAGGCACACAGACTATTGAAGTTTTTGATTTGAAAACTCGGAAACACACAAATTCTCTTTCTGTGGAAAACTTTTTTCCAAATTATTTGTGCATTGAAGAAAATTATGATGGACATGGGCGTGATGCATTGTTGATCGGTCGTGAAAAGCCAACTGTTCCAACCATGACCTACAGTGTTTGTAAGATAGACCTTCATGAATTTCTTTCGAATGGAGATCTTTCAATTCCCTTCATTTGGGAAAACAAGTTATTTACAAGAGCACCTTTAGGAATGTGTATTGTGACTAAGGCACAGCGAGAGTTAGTCGTGTGTGATCCGGGAAATTGTTTTTTAAGAGTTTTAAATTTAAAGACAGGAGAGTTGACCAGAAACATTGAAATTGGTCTTGAGCCATGTGATGTTTGTGTTGTATCCGATGAGGAGTTGGTCGTATCATGGGCCTACTCCAAAGCTGTTGTGAAAGTGATAGCAAAAAAGAATTCAGAGGCAGCAGATCTTTACCTCTTGTGTGGAGATCGCTCAAGATTAGAGCACTTTGTGGAAGCTTATTCGGTTATTTTTGACTCACAAAATAACCAATTCATTGTTTCTGATCCAGAATTTAACACTTCAAACTATTCGAAAGACCCTAAAGGAATGCTTCAACTGTTCTCACGTCAGAGAAGACCTGTTAAAGAATATGGAAATTCATCGAGCAGAGATAGCTTACTGAAATTCCCTAAAGGACTCTGTTTGCATAGGGAAACACACGAACTATTTGTGTGTGATTTCGGTGACGCTCATGTCCTCATTATTGAATAAGAAAGAATTCGTGTAAAATAAATTAATAAATTAAATTAAAGTATGGCTCATTCGATAATTTCGAAATTTAATTCTGTATCAATGATGGCTAATCCAATTTCTTTGAGGGGGAAGCTTTTTTAACTGCATTCACAAACCAATAAACAACATAATGCATGAAAATGGCAAGAGTGGTGGCGAAAACATAGAATATGGTGAATTCAACAACTCCCCAAGCTTGCATAAATGGGTAAGGAAAAGTGCCTTTCAGATAGCGTGTCAAACCTGTGAGAGACAAGTAAATGACAGGAACAACACAAATCAAATAAAACTTTCGTGTCCAAAAACCATCAAGTAAATCAGTTCGCGATCGAACCACTATCATTTCAATTAACACAATGACCAGAGGTAGAGTGTGATGAATATGATTCAATCCATCTGGATAATAAAATCCTTTGGGCACCATATTCTCAGGATTTAACAAATAGATCGACCAAAATAAAATTACAGTAGCGACCGACATGATAAAAGTCAAATGAAAGAAATCACTCAACAAGGATCTCAACGTTTTGGAAAATGATGATCCCGACCTAACCAAATCCTCCACAACACATGCCAAAAAGTACACAACCAATGCACAAGCAGTCCACAATGTAAACATTTTTGCAATACCTGCCAAAGAAAGCATGCCAATGAGGTGCGTCCAATAAAATCCGAAGAGAATCGCTCCAGCGGAGGCAGCATGAAAACTCACTAAAAGCAATCGCAGCATTTTTTTTTGATGATGAAAAATGATCGCACTACGGTTCAAAAAGGGAGTTTGAAAAATTGTTGAAAGTTGTTGACATATTCACAACCAACCAGCTACTTTTCAATAATGAATTGCATTGTTTTTACCGATGGAAGGTCTCAAAACAAGTCAGTTGCCTTATTCCATGTTAAAACACAATGAATCCGTTTCAATTCGCTGTCCATTTATCTTTTATCCAACTAAGGTAATTCGCCAAACATTGTTGCTTTGATTCGACAAAAGTTGTTCCTTTCATAAGGTTGTTGCAATGAAGATTTGCATATATTTTCCATCACACCCAAAAAAAAAATTTAATATTGGAACCTTCATGAACTGCAAACTTTCAAAATTCATCCTCTCTTTCCTTCTTTTGGCATTTCTTCTTCTTTGTGTCTATTCAAATGGTGTTGCCATCTCAAAGGCACAACGTTTGAGCATTCGTTGTACAGCTCTATGTGCTCGTTATTGGCGTTGTCGAACCCAAAGAATCTATTTTGGCAATCGTAGTGAGAAATTAGTCTATTTAGAATCACAGCCTGCAGTGTAAATATAAATGTGGAAAAAACTTAAAGATGTGTGAATAAAGATCTCATATTGATTCCATCAAACAATATATTCGCTATCAGTTAAATCTTGGAGATTAATTTGAAGACTGAGGAGATGATCTTTCGCGGTAGTAGTAGTGGTGGTAGTATCATTAATGTTCACACAATGAATAAGGTCTCTCAATGATTTCATAAATTCTCTCACACTCGGTATTTTCTTCTTCAATCATGTACTTTCTTCCTTCCATCAATTCGAGTCGACAATCACGAGCTTCTTCCAACGTCATGTGAGGCAAAAAATCCAAAATGTGCCTATAAATAATCTCCAATGGCAAAATCTTGCACAACACCATACATCGATTCAATAAAAAGTCCAATCTCTGAACATCAATATCATTTGTGGAAATGATGGGCTTTTTGGGATTAATCAAGAAAAACACTAAAATCTTTCGAATGGCAGGACGAGTGGGATCGAGAGGGAAAAAGTGTTTCACACGATGCTGAAAAATGTTTGGAAATGCAATGCATCGATCTTGTTTTGTTTCAACACTTCCCAATAATTCAAAGGAAAGTGTGCCCTCTGGAGCTCCATAATCTCTCAGTTCACGATCTGTTAAGTTTTGACGAAAATCCAAAAAACTTTCTTTCACATTTTCCGAGTGATAGTAATAAATTCCAGTGGCAACAATATTCTCATCCAATCCTTCTGTGTGCCAAGTGCCTCCAGGATAATAGGGTTTGTCAGGATGGACCACTATTGTGGCTGCTTTGACAATGACTTGAAAGCGATCAAAGGTAACGTCACAAGGACTGTAATGAATACTGTAATGCTGTTCCCACATGGGTACGAAATAACGCATCACTTTGCAAATGACATTTGCCAAATTCTTTTGTTTCACTTCACAAATATTGTTAATGTAGGATTCATAGGTAATGTCAAAGTCAATTTCTGCTGAGTGTTGATTTTGTTTCTCAGCTTGATCCTTGATTGAATCTGATTCATGTTGGGAGTTCTGTTGCACAAAATGAGTGGTGTTCTGTGTACGTTGCTTTTTGAACCAAGTGGGTATCCACAAAATGTCTGGATTTGATTCGAGAATAAATGGAGAATCTTCTTTGAGCACACTATGTGCGTAGTGATAACAATAAAGGGATGGGTGAATTAAATCCAATACTTGATTGTTACTTCCAGGATGATAATCTTTTTTTGATTCGTCTACATTTTCTAACTTGGAAATTTCTTGTCTTAATTCTTCTCTCAATTCGAGTGGAATTAAGTGGTCCTTGACAAGACAAACGTCTTTTTCGACCGAATCCTTATTCGTACAACAATGACTGCAAGGACATGAACAATCATTGCCATAGTCACACTCATCATCAGATTTTTTGTGGCTCTTCTTTTTAGTGCAATGACCACAACAAGTGACAAGTCCCAAAAAATCATTTCTTAAATCTTCTAGAATTTTGAATGCCACTTCCACGCTCGCTTCTGATATTCTCATGGTATCACTCAGACATTCTTGTTTCCATTTTTCACACAAGAGTAGATATTTATGAATCCAATCTTTCTTATTTTTCACTTGTTCGACTATCCATTCAACATCCATGGAAGAAATTTGAAACTTTTTAAAATCCGAACGAGAGGGTAACTCAATTGGCGAATTTGAACTTTTGGAATCCTTGTCGTCATCATCGCTGTCATGTGAAATTTTTCTCTTCTTTGTTTCTGATGTTTTTGAGAGAATTTCCTCACACTCGTGATAATTCAATTTCTTTGCAAGATCTAGAGCCGTTTCTTCATTCTTTTCATTCAATTGCATTCCGTCATCAGATGGTCAATATCATCATAACCATTTTTATAAACAATAAAAAATCACGAATACCTACATGATTTTCAATGTCGGGATCAATATCTTCCAATTCCCACAAGAGAGAAACAATATTTGGATGGTTTGCTTCAACGGCCGCATGAAGGGCTGTTTCCACACGTTGTGTCGTGTCGTTGTTTTCATTGAAAATATTTTCAAAATTAACATCGGCTCCTTCATCAATCAAGAATTTTACAATTTCAAAGTGTCCTCTAAACAAGCCCAGTAAAGAGCATTCTAATTTCGAATGATCGTGTCATTATGGACATTCAATGGTTGATGATCAATTCCATATATACATATAACATACACCACCGCCTTTGCTACATTCATCATCAATTGTGAAAGGACGAAACAACTTGCGGGCCAGAGGCAAATCTCCACTTTTGCATGCTTGAATGAATTCGTCTGCGTCGCTGGTTGACATTTTTTCTTAAATAATTATGGAATATGAGTTTCTAAAAATCTCGAATTTCAAAATTTGAACTCTTCTTCCAAGTTGTCCTTCTCATCTTCCTCTTCCATATAGTAATCACAATCTTCATCACAAAAAGATAGAAATACCAGCTCTTCATGCATCCTGAAAAGTATTCCATTCAATGATGGTGTGCTGTTGTCACGAATAAAATTTAAAGCTCTGAAATGATCATGTAAATCCTCGAATTGAAGTTTCATGTTCGACAATGGTTTACCACCTAAATGCAAAATATAACCACAATGAAAATGCTTTTCTGAAACGATGTTGTCACTAAGCATTAAGAATTTAGCAATTTCATATGTGAGATTTGACACCTCAACAACTGCGTTTTCTGAAACTTGTTGTAGCAAAGATAATGCTCCAGGAGTAAAATTTGTATCTGCTCTATAGTCTTTAGCAATTCCTCTAACTACTCTCTGGAAAAGAAGCTTAGGATTCACCATATCTCTCCGTGACTTGAAGGGCTGACGAATCTTTCGTTTCTTCATTTCCATAACATTCGTGGTGTCTTCAAGATGATCTATTATTGAAAATTTTCTCTTCTTATTTTCACACTCTTCATTCAAACTTGTTCTATTTCCAAGAGTGATCTTGTGATGATAAGTCATGCTATACATGAGTTCTTTCATTTCTACTTTCTCCGTCAACGACAGCGCACACTCAATAATTTTGTAAGCTTGTTCATCGAAATAAGGATCACCACTCTTGGGCAAGTCATTGGCTTTCCCGATCATTTGTTTGATAAATTCTTCCTGCAAAAACTCTTCTTCGTCACACTCATCACTTTCTGAATCGAACATGTTACGTGTCATATCGTCATGTGGTATCGAGAGGGATGTTCGATGTTTCATGTTGTTCGTGTGTAGGGAATTAGAAAGATTGTTGAAGAAGTCGATGGTCCTCCTATTCAAATGTTCCTGAACAAATTGAGATCCAAACTTTTTTTTCAAATAATTCAAATATTTCTTGACAACAAGTGTCATCTGGATGATTTTTAACGATATGATGAGACAAAGATAGTGGAGACATGGAAAATATTGGTTGATCGTAGGAAAGGGTTTGCATTGAACTCGAGAAGCAAGCATTGAACCATTTCGAACTGTTTCATTCGCACTGCATAGTGCAAAATTGTGAAGCCTAATACATCAACTTTTGAGGTCATGGAATAAGCAGAGACAATAGGACTATTATGTCTCTCTTCCTCTCCTTCATAAAATTGCAAGTCAATATTCCATTCAATATTGAGTTGGGAATGGTTGGATTCTGAGTGTCGCTATTGAGAAAACAATGAATCGACGGGATTGGACATTTTTAGTGACTTCTGACCAAGGCACCATTTCACTACATCCATATTGTTTGTCCATACTGCAAGAAATTGAAGAGTAAAGCCATTTGAAATTCTAGGAATAAAATCAAGACCTGTTCTGTCGAAATTTCTGTTTTGGAGGCCATCATATAATAACATACTACAAACAGGAATTCCTACCTCACTTAGCAGTTGCATTATCCAAAGAGCAGTATTCATTCTGTGTTCCATAGCCATAATAAAATATTGACGAGGAATTATTATACTATTAAAAGCATCCATTTCGATCCAATGATTGCATACAGAGCAATCCATGAGTGAGTCATCTTTCAAAAACTCCACCATTTTCATATTTAGTAACTGCTTTTCAATTTGTTGTGTATTTACTACTTCGTATGTTGTTGGATGATCTCGTATTTCCTCTAACATGGGCTGAAACATTCTCAGAAAATAATGTTGTATCGATGGAGCAACTCGCTTACTTCCGAAATGTCGCAATGCATCACCACAAAGAGCGATGAAGAGTAAGAATATCAATAACTTATTGTCCGAATAATATGGGCTCGAGAATAGATTACAATCCATCGGTTAACAACTCCAACAAATCTTCTTGTATCGCTCTCTTCCATATTGTAATCATCAATTTCTTTGTTGATAAATTTAAAAGTATTCTCTCTCCTAGTCCGATACAGCAAATCGTGTAGCCAACAATGAAGTTCATTTTCTTGCAGTTGTGCACCAATTAATTCTCTCCAAAATGTACGATCCTCTCCATCGGTGAGCTCGTACCATGCCTTGCAAACATGTCGGAATGATAACACACTTTGCGAAAGTGGAAATGGATCTTAGTGCTTTTGTAAGGGTTTGCTATTTTGCTATTCGTAAACCTTCTAATAGCTCACTATTGGAGGACATCAAGTTGTTGATTTTTTTCAGTCTTATCCTTATTTCTTTCCCTTGATTTTTCAATATAGGGATTCTCATTAAGGCTCTCAATAATATCCAAAGTTTACTACAATATGCAAGATATTGCTTTAACTCTTGAACGGATGAAATTATGTTATCCAAAGGACTTCAATACTAGCAATACTGAAAAGTTTTTGGATAATGATTGTGCATGTGAAAATTTGTTGGAAAAACTCAAATTGTTGTTATTTTATCAACAAGAATTTGTGAAACAGTTATAATTGAGATTAGAAGACTATAAGGATTATTTTATTTGTGTTTAAAACAAAGTAAACTTTCATTTCAATCTTTTCTTCGTCTCACGGACAGGGTAGTTGAAACTTCTGAGTGAACATTAATGTTGAGAGCATGGAAAATCTGCGATAAGGCCCCATCAAACCACCAGCGAAAAAGTCATTCCAAGATACGATTGGTGGGAAAAGTATGACTTCTTTTGGTATGTCATTAAAATTCCAAATTAGTTCCTGACTGTCAAAACACCTCGTCCAAATTTATTTGGGGATTTTGATTCGTTTTTCATCGTCTAAAAAAATGAATCCCTTTGAATTAACCATCTCTTCCAACAATTCATCATCACCAACCACGAATTCAACAACGAGCTCATGTCCCGAAGTGGACCCTTCTGGTCTTCAATACATTAAATGGATTTATATTATTTTCGGAGAATGTGTTCATTCGAGTTGGGAACAAGCTTCATTCTATGTAGGAATGGCTAGCCTATTCTTTTGGATGATTGCATTATTTCCTCAAATTATTGCAAATTTTAGAAATAAGAGTGCCTCTTCTTTGGCTCTTGGATATTTAATACAATCGACGATTGGAGATTCTTGCAATTTTCTTGCTTGTATTTTGTCGGGACAATTAATGACACAAATATTCGTAGCTGGATATTTTGTTTTAATTGATATCGTTGTGATTGGACAATACTTTTTCTACAAGTTGAGGAATGCGAAAATTTTCCAAAAAAAGAAAAAATTATCGGATGCAGTCACGAAAAAATCGAATGACTTGGAAATGGATCATGTATACTTTCACGAGGATCATGAACAACTCGCCTCAGTTCAAAGAAACAGCGTTGATGAAGATAATTTTATCATGCATGACGATGAACAGTTTCATGATGACCAAAATCATCATGTTTCATTACTTCCAAATAATTCTTCTCTGCAAACAGCAACCACAAAACTGAAAACATCTTCATGGGCTGTTCTTTTATCTATTGTGATTTTTATTTCAATTTGTATCCTTTTCAATAATTACCAAATTATGGAAAGTGAAATTCTCCCCATTGCAGAAAAAAAGATCTTTCAATAATGGACGACGATTGTTGAGCGTTTACGATGATGATGACAACAACTCTCCTTCGATGCCAAAACATAATGATTTTGTTTTTCCACCAAAGAATGCCTTATCCATCATTGGTTTCATCATTGGTTGTATTTGCTCCGTCATGTATATTGGTTCTCGATTTCCTCAACTCTACAAAAACTACAAAGTAAGTAGTGTGCCCATATCCAAAGTCTTTCCATGATCCTAACATTCATGTTTTCATTGAACCACCCCAAATATTGCTAGTCCAAAGACACAGAAGGTCTTCTCGAATTTTCTTTTTCCTCGCCATCTCTGGCAATATCTGTTATGCTACCTCCATTTGGTTATTCTCTATCGATGGTCAATACCTTATTACGAGAATTCCATGGCTTTTAGAGACTCATGTCAATGTGGTGCTAGATTCAATTATTCTCACACAAATATTCTACTATCATAGACATAGAAAAGGTGCAATCATCCTTAATAATAGTGAGGATCAAAAACATCACGAAGACAATGAGGATCTCCATTCAAAGGATTCCCACAGCAATGATTCACACTCTGTGACCGAATCTGCCACTCGATCCTCTTTAGATTCTTCTGAATTGAAACTCATTCCTGTCTCTAATACTAATTGATTCATAACAGTTTCTGACGGAATGTCAACATAAAAGATTTACCTTTTGAACATTCATTGATTTAGCGATACAGCAATAATAGTCATTTCGTGGCGTTCCTTTGTTGAGTCACGAAATTAGAGTATGATTTCGCAAACAAATGACAAAGAAAGAATAATTGAGAAATGATTCAAGAAGGTAATAACATTGACCTTCCCTTCACATCCTTCGAATATTCACCCAGTCAAAACAACCAAACCAGTATTTGAAGGTGGACGAAGTTTCAAACTCAAGTTCCTAGTTCCCCATCAAAAAAAATGCCATTGACTTCCAACATCAACCAACACCATCACTATCATCATCAACTTCCAGATGAGCTCTGGATTGACATTTTCATGTATCTCACTGATTCTCTTTCCTCCATCTTTATCCATGTTCCACTCACTTGCAAGAGATTCTTCCGAATTATTTATCATATGGATGATAATTTTAAACAATTCATACCTTCCAATCATCATCAAGCCTTCGATCATCATCAAGTGTCTTCTTCCCAGACCACCACAACCACCACCACTACCAATAACAGTCTGGTTTCAAAAGTGGAACGCATATTCTTAAACACTTTCTTCAGAAAAGGATCGACCTCCACAAGCACCATCACGACAGATCATTCTGTTCTTCCGAGGAGGAGTGAGGAGGAGGAGGATCATCACCAACATTCTGAAATAGCATCCACCGCTCTACTCCATCACGATGAATGGTTCGTTGATTCGGATACAACTCGAGTGAATGAACCCTTGTACAAGTTATTACTTGAGTTGTATAGTTTGAATAATTTTGATCAGAATGATGAACACTCGACAACAACATTTTCAAATAATACTCATGCCAACAACATGAAACAACAATATAGATCTTACAGAACTTGTTTTGAAATTTTCAAATTATTTGGTTTTACAATGAATAATTTATTTCGAAAAGAGTTGTGTTACAGCGGAACCATGATCACCAATTTGGAGGCTTACAAAAATACAAAGACTGCCTCTCCTTCGATGCAAGAATCTCTTCCAAGTGGAAATACAGTAGTAATGACAGAAAATTTTGGTTCCTCCTCAGCGGGTGTGAATGTAGTGAATCGACCCATGATGTACAATTCAGGAATTCATTATTTTGAATTTATTGTACATAAGAGTGGACAGTATGACAATTTCTTGATTGGAATTGTGTTAACTGAGAGATTGAACATTGAGAATTGTAAACAGGTATCGGGAGAAAAGCTTGAAGATCGGTTTAATGTTGATGCAGAATATAGTTTTCAGTTCAGAGATTATCTTGGATCGTTAAACAGTTTTAGTATTGCAATTTATGAAGAAGGAAATTGTGTTTATCACAAATCTCACTCAATATATAATTGTAATCAAAAGAAACAGTATTGTACTGTCGAGGATGAGAATATTGTGAAAGCTAATGGATATGTTATTGGTGTTTATTTGGATACGAAAAATTACAAAATTGCATTTGCGAAAAGTGAGTAGTTGTTTGTGACATTATTGTTCCATGACACACATTCAATTACTGCTTACGAAAACATTACATCCATACCTTAAACCACACACAAGATGGAGCATTTGTTTCATCGATGGATTTTTCTCAGAAAATGATTGATCATCCAAGGTATGAGGCAGGTCAGCTTGCTTTTTATCCTGCCTTATCTATGGGACAAACAAACGATGCTTGTACCTTTTCTACCAAGATGTCTCTTCAGAAATGTAGTGCCATCAGACGTGCTGTCAAAGAACTCGTATTCGAAAAAAAGTAACCAAAAAATTATGTCAAATTCATTTTCACGTTTGCAAACAACTTTTATTTCTTTTTATTTTGTAAAATATCAAGCTTGTCCTTTGCTTTTTGTTGAGAAATACTTAATTCTCCGTGCGACTTGATAGTGAGATCGTGCAGTTTCAATAACTTTTCAGGCACTTCTTGCTCAGCCTCCTCAAGTACCTTGATGAGTGGTGCACACAACTGAACATCATCAGGAGTGAAAAACGAAACAGAATTTCCTTCTTTGCCTGCCCGTCCAGTTCTACCAATTCTGTGAATATAGGAATCAATATCGTGAGGCATATCATAATTAATGACAAATCTCACATTCTCAATGTCCAAACCTCTTGCAGCAACATCGGTCGCAACTAAAATCGGAGTGTCTCCACTTCTAAATTCATTCAAAACCCACTCTCTTTCCTCTTGCTTTCGTTCTCCGTGAATACTTAGTGAGGGCCAACCTGATTCTCTTAATTTTTGTGTCACAAAGTCAGTACGTTTCTTGGTTTTGCAAAAAATTAAGGTTCTACAATCCTCAGGATTCTTGATAAGTTTGTCCAACATGTCAATTAGTCTTGCCATCTTGTCGCTATCTTGAATAAACATAAAGGATTGCTTAACATTGTGATTGGCACTGGTCTCTATCGATCCAATATTTACAATAAAGTGTGGCTCGGTTTTGCTTACGTAAGACATGGCCATGGACTGAACAGCACGATTCCAAGTTGCGCTGAAAAATAGAGTTTGTCGTTCTGGAGTAATTTGAGATGCAATTTGAGAAATTTGAGGATTGAAACCCATATCCAACATTCGGTCTGCTTCGTCCAATACTAAATATGAGCATCGTTTCATGTTAGTAATACCAGCTTGTAAAAAATCAAGAAGTCTTCCTGGAGTTGCGATAACAATTTCTGGTTTTGCTCGGCATTCCTTGATTTGATTTTTTCTGACTTCTCCTCCGTATAAACAAGCAATCTTGATTGGTTTGCTTTCCGATTGGCTTGCATTACAAAATTTTTCACATTCCTTGTGAATTTGTATGGCTAACTCTCGAGTTGGTGTCAAAATGACCATGACCGGTCCTTCTCCCTTCTTTAGCTCTTTTTGAGCCAACACATGCATTAAACCTGGCAATACAAATGCCAACGTTTTACCACTGCCAGTTTCGGCCAAACCAATCATGTCATAACCTTGCAAAACAATTGGCCATGTTTGTTTCTGAATAGCTGTTGGTTCTTTGAATTGCATTTCTTGGATTTGCTTTTGAATAAAAGATGGAAAATTGAGTTGTGAAAAGAGTAAAACTGGCTTTGGGATTGGAGTTCCTTTACGAGAGCAGAAAACTTTGATGTCTTCTTTTGCTCGTACCTCGGACTCGTTTTTCATGGCTTTGACACTCGGATGTTCCACATATAAATTCTTGACAATGTCCATCTTTTCAAATTCTTTTGGAGTTTCCAGTTCAAAATTGTAAAAGTTATTCAACAAGTCATCCTTCTTGCTCATTTTGACTTTATCGGAATCTCTTAGGTGTGCAAGAAACTCTTCATCTTGTTCCACAACGACATTTTGAGTTTTTTCGTTATTTAAATTCCCATTTGACTGATCTTCTTTCTGGAAGAGAAGAATTTTCTTTCGTGGAGGTTCGGAAGTACAATCATTCTTTGCCTGTTTTTTGTTAATATCATTAGAGGTGCGTCGTTCGGAGGAAGAGTTATTTTTCTGCTCTGTTTTGCTATCGCGGCTTGTTGCTGAGTTGTTGTTTGTAGATGATTCCGATGATGAATTTTTGTTGTTGTTGGCTGATGATGACTTGAGCTTGTCAGCAAGTTTTCGTTTCATTTTTTTTTTTTGAATTTCCTTTTTTATTGGAATAGAGCGATTTTATGAGGAAGTGATTTTGGAAGCTGTCAGACAAAATGGCAATGCACTTAGGTTTGCCGGTCTTCCCATTGTGTCCTTTCGATAAGATCATGTTATTATCTGACAAGGAACTCATTCTGTCAGCAGTGAAGAACAAAGGATTCGCATTACATTTTGCAAATGAAAACTTTCAAAAAAAGGTGAAGAACTTGAGATGGAAGCTCTAAAATGCAATGGTTATGTTTTTGAAGATAGTGACGAATGTTATCAAGCTAGAATGTATCATTGCTATCATAACCCTTATTTTGGAAATGATTATTAATTGTTTTTAGTTTGGCTGAAATTGAATTCGAATTTGTAAAAGGTCAGTATTGAATGTCTTCAATTTTTATTCATCTTGATATTGTACTTTCCACTGGGAAACAGTGTTTTTCACATGATTTGGTCGTCTCCAATGAAATCACCCAGAGAGGGATCAGAATGGACATTTCCACTAATGTTTGGCGATGATGATTGATCACTATCCACTGGTGTCCAATTGGCATCATCAGAAAGGTTCAGATAAGACGAATGGTCATGCATAGAGTGATCGAATGAAACAGAAGAAGGAGTCGCTTCATTGCTGTTACCATTTGCAGTGATTGCTTCCATTAATAATTGGACAAGTACTTGTTTTAACATGGCATTCACATCCAATGTTGACGACAATGAAGAAGCATCAATAGTGGTATCAGAAGAACAAGATAGGTGACCAGAGATCAAAAAAGTTGGAAAGAGGTTTTGGTTGTTCTGAATCAACAAGTGTTCATGCGTTGGGGGAGTTGATTCTTGAATCTGTGTGTCGGTGGCTCGATCTGGTTGTACAAATGAAACTTTATACGTGGAAGAATTGTTTGCCATGCTGGTATTAGAGATTATGGGAAAGGTATTCATCAAGGTTTGATTGTTCCACCCACAATTACCTTCATGAATCATGAAATTGTTGTTGTTGGAGTGGTGGTTATTGATATTATACAATTCCAATTCAGAGAGGTTTTTGTGGTGAGAAAAGGAATGAACAGAACAAGCGCTTGAAGAAGAAGTATTGTTGTTGTTGGTTACATCCACTTCTCCAGCATACCATTGCTGGACTTGATTCAGTGGGTGTACTCGGAATGGTTGTTGTTGTAGTTGAGGTAATGGTTGTGGTTGCATTTGTTGAGAGGTATTAGGAAACAGATCAAAAGTGGAGGATGGTGGTTGTTGTTCTTGTAAAGAGGTAAAAGGAGAAAGAAGTGCGAAACTGTCATCATGGTTTTCATTGGTCGATGGGACTTGTATTGATGGCTGATTTGTTTCTTGCATGTCAGGAACATGAGACAGTCGCTTAATGATGCTCAAATATTCTGTCAATGACACTTGTTGAGACATGAAAGGTAATAATGGACACTCTTGGTTGGAGCTATCATGACCACGACTGCAAGTCATCTTGTCCAAACATTTTGAAGATGAAACACCACATCGCGATTGCTCGCCTCTCACCTTGTAGTTGCACTCACTGCGGAGTGGTGGTGTGGATGAGTTTGAATTCATCTGATCCAAAGATGAATGCATCTCCTCTGTTTGATTCAATTTTCTCTTCTTCTTTTGTGAAATCTCTTGATCAGGGCAACCATCCACAACAGAGGAGATCAACGAGGAAGAAGAAGTTGTTGTGGTTGGTTCAGAGGATTCCATCCGTTTTGGACAATAAAATCTCTTCATCAAGCTTTTGGCTTTTTCTTTATCCAAAGAGGAATGAATAGAGGTGGAAAGGATGTCAAATTTGAGAAGTGGAACTTCTAGTGGAGCTGAAGGGACATGATCATCACCAGAAGTGCTCTTCAGATCCAGTTCGAAATAATTCTTTTTGAAATCAAGAATGTCGAGTTGCTTTCGAAGTTTTCTTGGTTGACGGTTCTTACTGACAGCAGCAAGTTCGTTCTTCTTCTTGTTGCTGCTGGTGGTGTGATTCTTCTTCTTTAACGTGTCCATGGATTGCTGATTTGGCATTTGACAGAAGGCAGTGATTGGGTTGTGAAGCACTTTTCTCGAGTTTGAAATGCACTCAGAAATTCATTCCTCAATCGCATTTATAGTTTTCTTCCTAACATCAAGTGGCATTTGACAGCAGGTAGCCTATCTTCGTTGGCCCAAAATCGAAAACCACACCTGTGAAAACTCTCTTTCAAGTAAAGAAACCAAATCGTTTGATAGGCCGCCCACGCGCATGAACTGGACTCAAGCCACACATTTGGGCAGGGTAGTTCCATTGGAGATTGGTTTGACCAAAGAACTGGATTCCCTATCTCATTCTTTAGCCGAAAAAGTTTCTCAAAAA